AAAACAAGCGTTACGTTTCATCTTTGCTTAAAATAAAGTTGGATAAGTCCCACTTAAATTTAGAAATGCCATTGATTCACATACGTGAGTGTCTATAACTAGTTAAGGTACTAATCTGGCACATACATGCAATCTTCTAAAGATTTATTATGAAGTTACGGACAGTATTCTCACCATCAGTCAACCAACAGACAATCTCATATCCACGGTCGACAGTGACAGCGTCTTTTGCTAATACAATAGCAGTTTGTCCGTATATTTTGTACTACCTGGGGACTCAATCAAAAAGACTTTGCTAAGAAAACTTATATACTAAAGATCTGGTGATATTTGTCATATTTCTTTTCTTCTGTATTCATTTAAAGTCTCTTAAAGTGTCATTACAACATCCTAATCTAACGGAACTGCTCTCCGGTGCGCCGTAACGTCATCAAAAATCGCTATTTTCCGTGTGTTGTGTTTACTACTTTCCCATTTCGAATGCTGGGGAAACTTCCAAAAATTAACCAAATGCCTTGAAATTTTAATAGAGACGACAAAATTGATTAAGGAATCGAATTATGATAATTTTCATTTCAATCTTATGTATTGAAAACTTTAATTACGAATTAATTCTTGTGTATTCTATAATATAACCTTGCTATTTTTACCGTGCGCCGTAGACCGTACCCTGTGCACATTTAAGCATAATAAAATTTTTATTTTTGTCTATATATTATCAAAAACATAATGATGCAATTAAATATGATGAATAAACATTTACTGAAAATTTCAGCTTTGTGCGCCCATTACTTTTCAAGAAAAACGCTTTGTCCACGATTTTACGGGACAACCCTCGTATTCAGTAAGTATTAATTTCTAAAGCAACAATTGTTTTTATTCAGATAAAAAAACATCCAAAAAGGAGACAGATATGGCAGACACTGAGGTGTCTTTTTATTTTAAGTTCACTTGGAAGCTGTATGTTGAAACCTATTTTAATTTGAAAATCTTTGAAAATAAAAATTTGGTGAACCCTCAATCTTAGTTTAAACATGGTATTTTAATGTTGAATTCTAATTCGTGGCTTATTTTTAATTTAAATCAGACTGATTTTTAATAACCAGCGAAGGGTTTAGCATAATGGGATAAGCTAACTTTTGAATTCTCTTAAATATTCTTTTCCTTTTGCTTGGGTTTAATAACTCTTTTAAATACTAGTAATATTAAAACAGAAGTAGTTTTATACCTTCATTTCTTTATTTAATTATCTCTATTATCAATTTACATATTTAAAGGAGCAGCATTTTAATCTAGTATTCGGTGTTTCAATACTTATATCTTTGTGTACATGGGAAAAAAACCCGCTATATTTCTTTGAAGAATGTTTTTTTCAATATACTTTGAGGTTTTATGCAAAAAAAAAAAACTTTGATCTTAAAACCACAACAGGAGATGAAAAACTATCTCTGAAGAGGATCTATACATATTGATTTATATCAATGACTTTTACTGTGTGTGGCCTCTATCTATCTTTGTAACTTCAGTCCAAAGTTGTTGTTTTTTTTTGGACACTCTTTTAATTTTTTTCTTTTTTTTGCGATTTCATCATTTCAGCTGACTACTAAGGAGGGCGTTAATTAATCGATTATCATTTGTGTATAATTTCTACCAAAAAACACTTAAGAGAACTCGATCTGACCCATTTAAAATATAGGAGCAGAGTAAACACGGACCTCCAAAACGTCAGAGGTGGGATCAGGTGCCATGGAGGAGTGAGCATTCCCTGGTTGCGTATAAAGTTGAAAAGTCGACAGTTTTTAAGCTGCTGATTTTGGTAAAATCTTGTGATTTCAATTTGTCCAAAAGTTCCTTGGAATTTCTAAGTATCCACATCTGATTTACACCACTTCTTGAAAATATTGTTGCACAGTACTCTTGTAGTTTCTTCTTCACTACTCTTAATATCTTAGTGAGGAGCGAAGATAGAGGCTTGCTTGAACATTTACTGGAACCCGCTATGTATCTTTGTTTGTAAGGATACCTTAGAAAGGGAACTATGAGATAAGTTGGATTACCACTTGTAGAATCAAATCCAGGTTTTTCTAAATTCAGTTTATATAATGAGCCTTACGAGGCCTTACGAAGACGGTGTTTAACCTTCTTTGTCAGCAGAGACCAGCACATAGTGATCATGTAATCTATCTAATTCTTTTTTCACTTCTGGATTATTGAAGACAGAAGGATATATGGTTTTCATATTGATTTTAACATGGATCGGATACATCTAATCTATCCCGACAACGTGTCAACGTCTTCCTTTTCATATCTGGCCAATCGTCTCGCGTAATCTTTTACAGAATCCATAATATTCATGAAATTCCGACGCTAGTTGAAGAACCGGGGTTCCCTATATTTTGGACCTTTTATATGTTTTTAAATATTTCATTATACATCGTTGTACTTCAAGGTTTTTTTTTTAATAACACCTCAAGTAATATTGAATGACCACCTTTCATTCTTCATATTTCTTTTTAAATTTCGTTGCTTATTTGCAAAGGTAAAAAAACATTTTTTTAAGAATACTGTATCGTTTAATTAAATCTTAAAAGAATCATGAAATAGAATCTAAAAAACGGATAAAGAAACAGTTTTCTTTTTACAGAAATGCAGTACATTTTGATACTAATAGATTGTTGCATTTACAGGATGTGAACATCATTTTTTTGTCATTTGCGAAGAGCGTGGTTTCTCTGCTAGAGGGGCATTTGACGTGAATCAAACGTAGAAATTCTTTGACAGAATTCGATACCTGATTTTCTTAATGATGTTCTGTTTAGGATGGATTTTCTCAATTTGCGAGGCCAAGAATTGGATTGTCCAGCTTGATTACTTGTCGGTTTCATCACATTTCATTAAGACGAAGCATCATTAGAAATAAAAAGAAGGGTACTTATGTTTCCACCTCTCATGATTTACTTTGGCTAGCACATAATTGCTCGGTTGCTCATTATTACACGGTTTACTCTTGTGACACGTTTCTCTTTATTGACAGTTTCAATATTAAGAATTTTTGCGGTAGTATTTTTCTCAGAATATGAAAAATATTTGGAATTCGAAGAACTTGTAATTGTAGAAACAGTTCAAACACATTTTATTTCTAGTTAATCTCCCCTGCAAAAATTAAAATCATAATTGTCTTAATATGACCACCCCTACTTTGTTCTTAAGCAACATTTTCTTAATAGATTGTGTGTATCAACTTGCGAAGAAAATATATGTACCAAATTATGATATCAAAAAATATGAAATTTATGAGAATTGGCATTGCAGTCATTTTTTGCGATTATTATGTTTTCCCGGTGAAGTGACAGTCTCTCGGTCATATTATCAAAAGTTGCGTAAATATCAGTAATAAGAAAATAAGACTCTTTGGTTGCCAAAATATGCCGCCTTTAACTGATTGATTTTTTTTTCAGAATGTAAGTACTATTGTCCGTGGTGCACGTGATAGAAATCGAAAATGTTGTTCCTGTTGTCCTTTGTAGAGCATTGCTAACTATGCTAATTTAATAAGGTTACTACTCTCCAGCACAAAGTCAATGCACTGAAAGAAGTACCTAGTTAATTTAACAAGTGTTCTTCGTAAATAAATCGTTCGTCGTGATCAGTAATCAGTAATCATTCTGTTTACTAGCTAAGATAGTGAGTAGTAGGTGTCTCGTGGAGCGGGGGTCGTACAGATACGTAACTCCAGTCTTTAAGTGTTTATGATAACACATATCACATTTCATTCAACTTTATAAAAGTCTATGAATAATGATAACAGAATTCATCATCAAAACTTGATATTAGAGTAGAAAATGGCCATTACATGAAACAACCAATCACAGTGCGTCTTACACAGTTGAACTTATTTCTTGAATGCTAATTGGGTAAATGTTGTCCATTCCTGTTCTTTAGAATGCTGCTATCTGAACACTCCATGGATTTTCATGTATATTAAATTATTGTATCAGTTGGTTAAAAAAAACAAATAATTCCCAACAATACTATAAATATATTACTTTTATTTAAATAATTTTTTTAAAAAAAGGACAGAAACAAAACATCAACAACAGATATCTAAAAATACTTCAGACATATATCAAGTTCTGTACAATTCTAAAAATAGGATAATTATATCACAGATATAACTTGCTGGATTGGAATGTTACAGTTTAATAAATGCCTAACAGTTACCTTAAATGATAAATGGTCAAACCTACACCCTTAGTGAAATATATGCACACTGGTCATTTGCATACATCTTTATTCTTATTTTACAAAATCAATATTCTAGACAAGTGTTTTTTTCCATTCCTAAATTATAAGTTAATAAGGTTCTGTATATCACAATTCTGCTAAATTTATAATGAGGTTGTGAATGTATGCACTAATTATATTATGATATTTAAATGTTATCTGCAAAAAAGAATAATACTGATGTCATAATTATTTGGTTTGGGTGTTCATGAGGAATGGTTCTTGACATTCTGAATGATACTAGCAGTCCTTAAGGACATGAAGCTCAGGCATTACATCTTTGAGACACAAAGTTAGAAATAGTTTTTTAAACAGAATGTTGATTTTCTACCATATAGCAATATTTTATTCATAATCTTGGTGAATAATACAGTCAATGTAGAATTCTGCCAACTTGAATCATTTATTGTACTTTGCAAGAAAGAAGGAAGTCAATTTGATAGCTAGCAGATAATATGACAATCTAAACACAAAATAATAATAATCATGAGTCATAACATGCATATGAGCCTAAAATCACAGCAGTAGTATGGAATTCAACCAATTCAAAACCTAAATACAGAAGTTTAGCAAAATAAAATGTCAAACACTGACATTTTTCTGATTTCAGCATAAAAAGATGTTGATAATAACTTCTTGATGCCAAGAATTTCATATATGGACGGATCAAAGTCAAATATTTTAAACTGGAAGATGCTAGCTGCTTTTAAAAAGCCATTTTAACTAAAGGATTATTAATGTAAAACCTGAACCAGCAGCAATATTGGATGATTCCAGGCTACATCACACAGAGTTGTGACAGGGAGTTACTGGAGCGGAACCTTCGTGGGATGCATCATTAACCGTGACTGATGGCAGACAGTTGGTAGTTTTCTAACTTGTCTTGCAAAAGTTGGATAGCCTGGATTTTCTGAGTCAAGATATGGCTGATCCTCCTTACATAATCTTCATCACTCTACAAATAAAAATACCCTCAAAATAACAACCACATCAATTACAAACACCAAAAATTACAGTAAGTGAGACAAGAGGCCCATAGGCCACATTGCTCATCTGAGCAACTAGGCTTGGAAAAAGCAGTAATCAATTCAGTATTGAAAAACTAAATACACAATTGGTTCATTTCTATCACTCGGAGGAGGGGGGAGGGTAGGGGGGAGCATGATTTAAAGAAACTTAAATCAATACTAACTGCAGATGTTTCCATAATTCTTTGGCTAGCCATGGATTTAGATTTTTTCCTTTAACCTTGTTCTTCATTATATCCCACCCCAGGTGTCATGATCTGAACTTGAATCTAAACAACCTGAGAATGCTTCTTTATTAATATAACAAACCATGGCTTTCTGGTCTTTGAGAAGAAAACTTTGATTTCCTAAGTGTTGTGGCCCATCCCTCCTCTGGGGGTCAAAAACTACTATGGATGCTTTCATATAGATATGATTTGCTGTTCTTTAGAAGCAGAATTTCTGATATTTTTTCTTAGTTTCTTATGTAAAACTATGATTGCTGAGTGTGGCCTCACTCTACTGCCCAGAGGGGATTTTCAGAACTTAATTACCTTATTGCTAACTCAAATTTTCTTCCCTTGAAAGAACATTAATCCTTCCTTGGAAGATGTTACATACCCTTCCTTGGGAAAATAAACTTGAATCCCCTTTATCCCAGAATACTTTGTGGCAAGTTTGATTGAAACTAGCCTAGTAGTGCTTGAGAAGAGGTAGAACCATTGAGAAGTCTATAGATAGACAGATGGATAGTTATAGATAGACGGCTGGTCAGACAGATGCCAAACAAAATGTGATCAGAAAAAAAACTCACTTGAATCTTTGGTTCAGGTGAGCTAATAAATTACTGTGGAAATGATTCACTTCTAGACTCCATGCCCTTGAACTGAAATAAATATTCAGGGCAGAGGATTTTTTTTTATTTCCATCTTAAATCACAATGCTTTTCTGTGTGTATCTTATTGTTTGTGTATCTTGGCTTCAGATGGGATGGAGTCAAAAGGCTGAGGAAAGCTGCACTTGAAAATCTAGATTAACAGTTTGACAAATAGGTAGACAAATATACACTCAACAATTCAGCCATGAGGCACTTTTTCAGGTTTGTACCCACACATGTAATAAAAAATGCATTTTTATGTGAAAACTGTCATAACTTTCATCATAAAAATTTCCAGTTTATTATCAGAATTATGAAATTAATGCTTAGAGAGATACATACAATATGTCTAACACAACATTTATCATCTTTTCCTTTCTGAATTCTGTAAAAGATTTAGAGAGATTTAAGAGAAGGAAATGTCAGTTTTATGTCCACATCATGGCTAGCCACCCTGATATTACATCTTATACAAAAAAAAAATTGATCTATATATGTCACTATAAATGTTAAAACTTTACTTATATCTGTTTAGTTAACAGGAAATAAAAGACAGAAGCCGAATTATGATTATATAAATATATCCTGAATATATAAGTGTATCAAATCCATGAAGCAATCAAATGGTTACAACTAAATTAATGCCCTAATTTTTAATGAGCCAAGCTTCCTGCTTTCCATTCCTAGATCCCTGAGTTACTTACAGTCTTTATTATTGATTATGTACACTCACTTTCTGATTTTTAGATATAATGTTGTTATTTCTTGACTTTTATTATATCACTGATGCCAGTGATCATGTGTTACATATATAAACTAATTTTGTTGCAGTTAATATGTATAAAGTGCACACATTTTGCATCAGGTGATGTATTCACTTTGCCTTCTTTAAATTATGTTGCTATGTGTATATTTACTGTGTAACTTTTATTAGGCACCATGATGTTCTTTACTCTGTCGATCACTTTATCAGTCATTCATTGTACTGTAGATTCCTTATTTTATGCCAATACTAAATATCATAAAATGGCCCTTATAGACCACAAATCACGAGAAGAAGAATTTGTGAGAGGATCATCATGCAGGTTGATGAAGAGATCTAACAAGGATTTCAGCACCATTGAAAATTAAGTAGTCTTATCTGGTGAGTGGTGTGTCTCGCAAAGTTACACAAGAATTATTTCCTCCTGTATATTTAGGAATGTACAGTACTCACATTTTACTTTAATTAATTACATGTAATTGTCACATTTCACTCACTTAAAGACATTGGTAATTTGTTCTAACTTTATGACATTTAAAAAAAAAATGATTTTATGACATATTATTTGTTATGTTGTTTCTTTCATAAATCATTGCCAGTTAAAGCATCCATAAAGTTGTACTCACCTTGTGTCCAGACTTAGCCCCTAACAATAGCTTCATTTCCTGTTTACAAAGAGACGTAACTGTTGCAAGTTGTTCTTCATGGGCAGAAATGATAATTTGTCTGTAAATGCACAAAATTTTATTTCTATAAATAAAATTAGAATTTTATCATTTTTTCTTCCATTTTGAGGAATTAATACAAAAAAGTGATCAAATAGGTAATTTACAGTAGAACAAAGTTATACTGAAAATGCTTATTAAGAATTGACACTTACAATGAAGTGATTTTTATTCCCTATGGATTTAAATTATAGTATAAACTTAATGGATATGAGGAATTATGCTTATAGCAAGGCAAAATCCTCCATCCCTGGCACTTCATTATAAGCCTGTTTTAATACTGTACACAATTTATATTTTTCTATATGTATAAAGCTTCAAATGTTTAAAATTTAATTCTTTTAGAAATTCATATTTTTGGTGCTGTTTGTAAATTGATTTTACACAACTAACTTAGTAGTATACTGTTTTACCTGCTTTCTGTTTGTTGATCCTTGCTTTCTACTTCCCTGGCTTCATTTTCTGAGTCTCTAGGGACAGGATGTGCTAGATCCTGGTTTGCTGACTCTACTACATGCTTTGTTACAGGGTTAGTAGTCAGGGGCTGTGGGTGTATGGGAAGAAATGCTGACCCCACCCTGCCTCCATCCTCAAGCTTTTCTGTTGTTATTGCTGGACTGCTAAATTTACTGGATTGGCCCCTCCCTGAGGTTTCTCTCCCACTCTTATTGCTGAACATGTGGTTCCTGCTTTCACTTCCATATTCAGTTAACTGATCTTTCTCTTGTGTTTTTGCAATTCTAGGTTTGTTTTGTGTAGTTGTGTGTCCTCTGTTATTTGATGAGTCATTTGTTTCATTTATGGGACTAGGATTTGAAACATTATGTTTCTGTGGCTTCTCCATGGATTCCTTAAAGAAGACAGACCTTAATCTTGAAGCCACGTCTTTCCTTGAGGTTGCTGGCCTGTCACCATAGTAGCTAGGTCTCTTCTGGATTGGAAGAAACTCTGTCAGATCTGAGTCAACCTTGTCATGAATGTCTTTGTCCGCCTCTAGAGGTTTTTCTGGCCTTTCTTGGTTGGACTGGCTGTATCCTGAGGCAGAGTGAACATCGTAATCAAGATTAGAAGTTGATTTTTGGACAGAAGAGTAGATATGTACAGCATGATTCGCTGGTGTATTGTACCAGTCATTGGTAGACAGAGGATCTACCTCAGCCAATGAAATCTTCTCCTCTGAATCATGTGACTGTCTACTTGTATTTTCATTGTCAACACATTCATAGTTTAATCCTCCTAAATTGTTTTGTCTTGTTTTTTGTTCCCTTTCGTCTACACATTCACTTCTTGATCTTGCGTAATGATCATTCTGTGATGAATCTGGTCCCTCTTTATTAGACCTAAACTGATCACCAGAGCCTGGGTTGAATCTGCCATAATCTGAAGAAACCTCTTCCATCCTGTGGTCTTTAGGAGTGGGGATTCTCCTATCATCATAAATCTGATAGGGACTTTGGTTCTTGGCCTCCTGACGAGGGGAATGCCTGGGAGGAGTATGCTGCTCTGCCCTGTTTTGTTCTACTGGTTGACTAAGTGGTGGAGTCCGTAATATCCTTGGTCGGGATTCTGTGGGGTTCACCATGGCCAGGGAAAATGGAGGTGGAGGAGGTTCTGGATTGTAGCGACTGAATCTTCCAGGGGACCTCTGGGAGAAAGTTGTTAGGTCACTACTCTTAGCAGTCATAACAGCAGGTAGAATGGGGTCCACAGAAGGATCTTGAGGAATTTTCAGCTGTACATTATTCCCCCTACTGAGCCCCAGTACTAAAGAGTTCATTTCTCCCGTGCTTGGTGTTCTGGGAGTTTTTTGTGAGGGGGAGGAGGGATTAGGTCCATCAAACAAGTCATCATCAGCTACACTTCCGAGAGACAAGGGGGCATGTTGAAGTACAGGTTTAGCACTATTCACAGTTCTTCCTGGGTTATTCTGAGACACTTCAGACACCCTGGGAACATTATTATTGGGGTTGGTCAAAAAGTTATTACTCAGTGGCAAGTTTCTTACTTGGTTTTCAAACTTCCTTGGTCCTGACTCTGTAGCTGTGCTAGAGGACTGAGCTGATGGCTCAGTGTAGATTTTCTTCCTGAGGACAGGGGGACTGGGCCGTGATGGACCCTGGGGTGAGTTACCCCTGTGAGGGGAGTTCCCCCTGTCTTGTGGGCCCTGTGTAGAATCAGGGGATCTATAGTCCTGATCTCCTATCACTGGCAGTGGGTGACCAGAAGATGAAAAATGAACTCCAGGGGGTTTAATAACTGACACACTCTGAGAACTAAAAACATTGTCTGAAGAGTGGGCAGTTTTGCCTCCAGTTCTGTTTAAATCATTTAGTTCATCATTATTAAAATCTGTAGTGGGAAAATCGTTATCTGTATCTGTAGATTTTACTACAGGAACATTTCTGTTAGTTTTCACATTACGTTTCTCACTCACATTACAAGAGTCTGAGTCAGTGTGATCGGAGTCACTGCTTTCTATAAGAAGCTGTTGAGGAGGGGGACTGGACCTTAGGGGGTCAGGAGAAGGTCGAGGGGGGAAGTGTCTAACAGCTGAGATACGACTAGCCACAGTAGCACTTGGTTTTCTGATCTGAGGTTTTGTCACAGAAGAGCCTGAGGAGGAGGCAGATGCTGGTTTTGTTTTTCTTTTAACACCGTGACCCTTGATTGGGCTTTCTGTGGGGTCGAGATGAATATCCTGCATGGATGCTCGAGACACAGTGTGTCTGTGTGTCTTTGGTTTAATGGGAGTGGAAGAACACAGAATGTTTCCTGGCTGGAACACAGAGGGGGCTGTTAGAGGAATATTCATCAAGATGTTACTGGCTGTACT